GCGGCGCCCCGCCTAGGTCCTCGGACGAGAACAGGAAATGGTTCGCGATGTGGGATGAGGAGACCGTGGGGACTTTTTCCAACCTGGGCTTCGAGGACGACGCAGTCGGTGGGTCCTGCCCTCTGGGGAAGTGGGCAGGGGCTTCCCGCGCGCCACTGCGAGGACAGACGTGTGCCTTGTGCCAGGGAGCTTGTGTCCCCCGTGCCCCGTGCCCCTCCCGACGAAGGCCATCCCGGCAGGGTAGGCGCCGGCCCCAAGCTCGAGGCCCAGGCGTGCTCACCTCTTCTCTCCCCCACCCCCGTCCTCCCTTCCCCTGCCCGCTTCTTACCCCTTCCCTCTCCTCCCTTCCCCTCCCTCTCCCCCCCTTCCTTTTCCCTTCCTCTCTCTAGTCAAGAAGGAAAACTTCTGTGTGGCCCTGGAGAACGTGGACACCAGCCTGAAGGTGAGGGGCAAAGGCGGAGGCTAGGAACTCTCCCGGCGGCTACTCCAGACCGCCTCCCCCCTCCCTTGGCGGCAGGGGCCCGGGCTGGGTTCAGGAGGCAGGTGGCTCCTGTGCCCACCCCCTCACCGCGGACTCTGTGGCAGGTGCACATCAAGAGACCTGAGGTGACCTCATCCTCCCTGTGAGCCGCGTGGGCCCCGTTCACCACCCCTTCCACCTGCCAGCACAGGACCCTCTCGGCACCGCGACCTTTTCACGAAACGGCCAGGGACTTGTGCAGCCCAGCTTCCTGATGGCCCTGGGCAAGATGAGACTGTTCCCCTGAATCCCCTCCTCCTCCCGTCCTGACTGAAACCCATCTGGAGACTCAGTTTCCACCCAGGCTCATTACTGCAAAGCCTCAGTTTCCTCCCCCTGTAAAATGGGTCCAGCATCCTCTTCATGATACATCATCAGTTATTGTGAAAACCACACGTGCTTGGCCCCTTCTCTGCTCCAGTCCACCCGCCTGCCTCTCTCCCATCCCCCAGTCCTCATGTCTTTCACCGGGTCCCAGGCCTAGTTCCCTATTTTCCTGTTCCAATCCCTGCTATCTATTCCTCACCCTGAACCTGGAGCCAGCCCACAGCCCGACCCTTCTCCTGTCCTCGCCTTATATCTCCCCTCCAGAGCCCGTCCCTAATCAGACCTCCCCCCAGCCCCCGACCCGCCATCTCTCCGTGTCTGTCTGCTCCCTTTCCCCATCCTGGTACCCTCCGCCTTGAAGCCTTGCCCCCCTCATCCCAGTGCCCCAGTCCTAAACCCTCCCTCGTCCCCCCACGCCCCTGTCCTTAGCAAGGTACAGATACTCTCTGTGTCTTAGGACCGCCCCGCTGGTGTCGCCCCCTGCCTTGCCACCTGATCTCCCGTTCTGAGACTCCGCCCCTCCTCCTTATCCTCTAGGGCCATGGATCCCTGTGGGTGGGAGCAAGGCCTGAGTTTCCCCAGGTCCCCGAGGATGAGGGGAGGTGGGGCCCTGAGGTGGAAAAGCCCCCCCCCGTCCCCCTCCTCCTCGTTCCCCTAACCTTTCCTCCCCTCCTGCCTCACCGCTGCGTTTTCCCACCCATCCTCGTCCTTCCCTTCCTGGCGTCACCCCCGTCCCGGCAGTTACTTCTGAGCACCCCTCAACCTCCTTTACCAGGAAGATCTGCTCTGGGGACAGGACATCAGCCAGTCTGCAATGTCAGCGTAATATAGCGTTTATTGTCAAAGAAGGTGCTCTGTGTCTCTCCTTTTCTCTCCCTGGTGGACTCCACTTGGGTGGAGACTAGGGGGTATTATAGGAGGGTCCAGGGAGCACCCATTTCTCACAGGGAGGAGGAGGGACCTCTGTGGGGAGCCCCCGGGGACCACAGCTGTCCTTGTAGAGAACACAGACTGGGGAGTGGTCCCATCTTGTTAGATAGTGGGTGGGAGTAGGGGATCCTTGGGTTCTGTCGTCTGTACCCTTCCTGTCCTTGACATTGGGAGCTTAGGGCTGGGACTTTGAGAGGAGTTAACATCCCCAGTGCTAGGTCAGGGAGGTGGCTGGCCCAGGCTGGAGCTCCCTGGCCCAACTGCCTTTTGCCAGGATGGTCAAAGCTGAGCCTCCCGGAGACCATGAGGCCCCATCCCCGACTGCAAACACATTCAGCTGGGCCTGGACCCTCCTGCAACATCCACCTGCTGGGGCAGGGCCCTCTTGTTCCTTTCTGTTGCGGCAGTCAGGCCTAGCCTGAGTGAGGGTGGCTAGAAATAACTTGACCCCTTGGCTGTTTGGGTGGGGGCTTGGGAGAGGCCCCTGCAACCTTTGCCCTGGGCAGGACTGGCTGTGGCCTTCCCTCACCTTTGTCTTTGGCCATGGGTGGAGACGAGGACCATAAAGTCTCAGGTGTGAATGGGCACCCCACCCAGGAGAAGGGCTAGCAGTTGAGGGCACCGGGAAAGCCCAGGAGATCGGGGAGGAGCCCTCTTGAGCTGGGTGATGGGGAAGGAAGGCTGAAAGAAAGAGGGGCTTCTCTGGGGTAGGAGTGAGGGGGTCCCTCACTTGGCCTGGCCTGCTGCTGGCTGCCCTTCCTGGGTTCGGAACTTGTCCCTGCGTGGTCATCCTCTCCCTGGTCTTTCTTGGTCTCCACCCCTTGGCACCCGGTGTGCGCTTACACCTGCGGCCTCCTGTCCCTCCCTCTTCTCCGCCCCGCCCATGGCTCTGTCTTCCGCTGGAGAGACCCTGGCTCAGGGCAGTCAGTGCTCTAGGAGTTAGAAGGGAGGGAGGTTAGCAGGGTGTCCTTTGTCCAACTCCCTGTGGTCACCCCGTGCCATACCCTTATAACACCATCACCTCGCCCCCAGCCTGGGTCTGGCGCTGTCCTTCCTCAAGGCAGAGGTCTCCAGGGCCTTTTTTATAGCTGACGCCTCCCTGGGAAGCTCTCATTTTTTGGTCCCTCTGACGAGGAAAGACAGTGCAGCCAGGGGCCCACTCCCTGGGAGATGCTGGTCATCTGGAAACTGCTGCTGGCTTTCCCGCTCTGGGCATCCATCATCTCTACAACAGCACAGGGTGAGTGTGACTTGGGCTGGCGCTCCCGGTGCTCCCCATGCATGTCCTGGCCTCCCTGTCTCTCTCCCTTTGCAGCAGAGGGGCTGCCAAAGGGCTGGACCCCTGTGCTGTGCCCTCATCCTGCCTTTGAGGGGGTGCTGAAGGGGCACTCCAGGCCTGTGGGTGCCCGTGGCAGGTGATAGCCTGCACACAGCCCCTGGGCGGAGGGACGGCTGGAATCCACCCCTTCTGGTCTCCAGGCTCTCCCTGGACAAGGGGGCTTCTTCATAGACTTTGCTCTCTGCCTGCCCTCACGCTCGGGGCTGTACCTGTGGGAGGGCTGGCTCTTTTCAACCCTCACAGAGGTGCTGCACAGACTGCCGGCTCTGGCGGGGGGGAGGGTAAGGAATATAGGGGATGTCCAGCAACTTCTCCCCCTTGACTCGGGGGGAGCCGTAGGTGCGCTCCAGAAAACCCCTTCAAGCCGGGCTCGGTGGCTCAGCCTGTAATCCTGCGCCTTTGGGAGGCTGAGGTGAGTGGATTGCCAGAGCCCGCGGGTTCGAGACCCGCCTGGGCAGTGAGACCTCATCTCTACAATAAAATAAAAAAATCAGCCGGGCGGTGGTAGTGCGTGCCTGCAATTCCGGCTACTCGGCAGGCTGAGGCGGAAGGATCGCCGGAGCCCAGCAGGTCGAGGCTGCGGGGGCCGGGACTGGCCACTGCACTCCAGTCTGGGCAAAAGAGTGAGACTCCAACTCAAAAAAAAAAAAAAACACCCTTCAGTTAGATTGCTCAGGGATTGTGGACGGAGACATAGGCTCCAGGGTCCTTGTCGAGCCCTGATGGTGTCTAGGAGGAGACTGGCTGCAAAGTGACCCTCCCTCCCAGGGAAGGGGAAGGTGGGAGAGAGAGAGTTGAAGACCATGGGGTGGATGAACGGGGGAGCGAGGGAGCAAGGGAGAGGAGGGTGGATGTCCTCGGGGCTCCTTGGGGCACCCCATGAGGTAATTCACGAGAGAAGCTCCACCATCTCAGCCGGGAACTCAGGTCCCTGGAAGCTGCCTCAGCCCGCCAAGCCCTGACAGACCACCACCACCTCCCCGATCCTGACACGTGTGGGAGGGGCACACACTGAAGGCGCTGCCGGACGGTGTGGATTTTGGAATATTATGAGAGTACGTCAATAGCGGATTTCCTTTAAGGTAATCTTCCAAGAGTAGAAAGCTGTGGGCAAGGGCTCGATCTTAGGAGGGGCCCTTGCCATCCTCTAGGCCTGGCCTGGTGATCCTGGGACCTCCCTCTGGCCGGGCTATCTAGGGAGAAGGTTGTGGAAGGGCGAGGCCAGTGACGACGGCCCCAGCAGTCAGCAGTGCTGCTGCCGCCCAGCTGTGCATTGGAGACAGTCACCACCCAGCCGAAGGCCCCATCCTTTCGTGCTTATTTATTATTGTGTGGAAAAGATAATGCAGGTGGACCCAAGAGTCAGAAAAGCATCCATCTATGGTAAGTGCAGAGAACAGTCAGGAGGGGGTGAGGCCAGGTAAGTAGGACCAGTCAGGAGGGCTCTGGAAGGTCTGATTAGACCCAGAGACTCCTGCCTATTTGTAGAGGGCTCTGCTATTTATAAAGCCATTTAACAGCAGGTAGCTGGTATCATTCTCGCAAGGAGGTTTGTGAAGAAGGGCAGGACAGAGGAGGGAATGGAGGCTCAGAGAGGACGAGTGACTCACCCGGAGCCACACAGCAAATAATGAACACAACCACCATTTGACATTGGGTTTGCCCCCCACCCCAGGTCCTCAGTCCTCTGCAACTCTCACCCCCGAACCCCCCCAGGCGCGTGCTCTGGGGCCTTGGGGAGGGTTCAGATGTCAGGCCTGAGACCACCAGCGGCATCCATAGCTTTTTTTTCCCCCCTTCCTACTCTCTGCACCCCCTTCTGGGTTCATGCTGAGGACGGATGCGGTTCTGGACAAGCAGACAGTAGGGTGAAGGGAGACCGTGCTGAGAAGGTGGGAGAAGCATTGCCATGGCTGTGCAGGGGAGCGCAGGCCTAGGAATGCCTTAGCAGGCCAGGGGTGTGTGCTGGGCTGAGCGAGAGGTTCTCTGGGGAAACCAGGGTGGCGCCGGGGCGTGTGTGGGGTGATGGGAGCCGTGAACTGAGCCGAGACGTTGAGACACCAGAAGAACCTCCTGGGCTTGAGCAGGGCTGAGGGTGCCCCTGTGGGGCAGCCCTGCATCGGAGAGGCCTGTTGAGAGGCACCTCTACCCCCTCCTGACAGCTCTCCGCACTGACCATAGAGCCATACTGGACGTGAGGGCCCCGCTGGGACCCCGACTCCTCTGGAAATGGAGGCTCTCCTCCATGGGGGGCTGCGAGAGTGCCACAGTGGGAGGTCCAGGAGGCTGTATTGACTAGGAGGACAGGAGCCTGGCGAACGACACGGATCTCCAGTCGGACCCACTGAGTTTTAGGTGACCATGGAGTTTCTGGGTAGGGCTGTCTTGGAGACCTGGGACGCAGGGGAGCGCTTCTGGATCGGGTCCAGAGCTGGTGCCCCAGCCCCCACTCCCGATCGAAGTATGAGAATGTGGGGCCTCGCAGAGACCCATGTCAGCCGGGGCCTTGAT